CGAGTCAGATTCAACATTATCTGCAGCCCTCCTGAAATAATGGTGGTGACTTAAATAGCGTCTAGCTGCCGCTTCCTCTATGTGGTGCTTGAATGTAATCCTGCTGGGCTGAGATCTGAATTCATTCGTGACTGATTTCCCAACGCTGGTGTGCCAAGATGAACCCACTTGAAACCGGTGGGCTCTCGGACTTGGCTGCAGGAGCAGTCCAGCTGAGGTGGGCTGGCCCAGCATCTGCTGCCTTCATTGTGCCTAATGCTGCACCCATCTGTTTTCTGTCAGAGCCAGTGCCAACAAATTACTAATCTATTAGAGAACCATGGGATGAAGACTGCACTCCTCAGTCCTGGCCTTTCCTCTCACATTTTGCTTGGCTTACGCATTTGGATTCTGTTTGTTGGAGCACAGATATGAGCTATAGTCTACATAGAGTGGGTGGGTCATGCCCTGCCCCATCCACTCATCTTAAACGTGGTGGGGAAGCGGCCCCAGTGTCCTGTGGCTCCCGGTGGTAGCGCTGCAGGCTCTGTCCCTTTAGCGTGGCATCTCTCTGATGACAGTGCCACTGTGTGGGGAAGTTAAAGAACTTGGAAGGGCCGTGCTGCCAGGCAGTGTCAGGAGCAGGGCTCGGCTCTCCGTGCTAAGGCCTGTGCTTTACCCTGGAAGCCATCGGAGCCTCAGAAAGTGTGGTCATCTAGGCACATGGGTTTAGTGAGGAAGGCTTTTAACGCGTCCAGGAAGAGAAAGGGGACTTTGTCTTTCTTCCCCCACACAGAGGCCTCTATAATTAGAGCAGCTCCCTAGACATGTGATTCTGAGTCAGCCTGACTGAAGCAAATAGAGTGAGAGCCGTAACCCCAATACAGGCTGCACATCAGAGCCCCGTGTCCCACACTAACCGTCCAGAGTCCTTCCTGCCGAAGCTGGAGCCCCACTACAAATCAGCCCCAGAGTCTACGAAGAATGAGAGCTTGGGGCAGGATACAGGACAGTCAGGAAGGCGGGGCCGTTCTTTCGTCTGTGGATCTTCATCAGGATCCATCAGCATTTTAGGCCCCCACTCCACAATGAGTCAGACCAGAACGGGAGATCTCTGTCTCTTAGCACAGTAAGCAAAGCCCAGTAAGGCCAGGAACTCTCTTCTCTAGTAAAATGGCAGAAAGAGTGGAGTGCAGTTTGCAGTGGCCATATCTAGTCTAGATGCTTGTTTTAGAGCAAGATTCAAGTGCCTTTTTCTTTTTTTGTTTGTTTTTTTGAGACAGGGTAGCCCTGGCTGTCCTAAAACTCACTCAGGTTGGCCTCAAACTCACAGAGATCCACCTGCCTCTGCCTCCCAGAGTGCTGGGATTAAAGGTGTGTGCACCACCACAAGCTGCAAGTGTCATTTTCAAAAGGAAAGGGGCTTCTTCCCCAGGAGCCGTTCATCAGGTGTTGGGAGGGTGCGAACTAGTGTCCAAGTAATAGTGTGGGCCTGTGATCATTTGCTCACACTGTAGATGAGTTTGTTTGGGTAAAAGCAAAGCCAAAAAGGAGCTGAGACAGAGATACTGCAGGATGGGGCTGTGACATCAGTGAGGGGAGGCAGAGTCACAGTGCCTGCTCATTGGGGAGAGCATCCATTGTACCAGCTTCCTGAAGATCCAGGAGAGTGCTACTCCTGCTGAGCTGGCCCTCTGCGGGCAGGTGACTCAGAGGTGGGACCCCCAGAAACCACTTTAGAACTTTCTGGAAGAAGTTTTCAATTGTGAACAGTCTCCATGTATTTTAAGACTTTGTTTAAGAACATTCCAACTTTGCAGAGGTGCTGCGTGCAGGGACAGCCTGCCGTCGTCGGCCTGCCTCATAGTTATCACATCTTTATGCCCCTCCTCCGAGTCCTCAGGTTTTCGTCTCTTTATTGGAATCTGTTGTTGGACTTCCTTTTATTCTAGCCCCACATCGGAACATGAAAATGGTGGTGGTTGTTTTTTCTCTTAGGCGCCTTGGCTCTTTTGGGGGCCCACCACCCAGCTCCCAAATAAATCACACATAGAGTCTCATTATTTCTTATAAAAGCCCGTCCTTAGCTTGGCTTATTTCTTGCCAGCTTTTCTTAAATTATCCCATCTACCTTTTGCCTCTGGGCCTTTCCCTTTTCTTACTTCTGAGTATCTTGCTTCCACTCTTACTCGGTGGCTGGCTCTGGGGCTGGGTGGCCAGGTAGCTGCCCCTTCTTTTCTCTCTCCTTGATCTCTCTTGTCCCTTTTTCTTTTTCTCCCAGAGTTCTCCTTCTGTTTATTCTCTCTGCCTGCCAGCCCCGCCTATCCTTTGCTATTGGCCGTTCATTTCTTTATTAGACTATCGGGTATTTTAGACAGGCAAAGAATCACAGTTTCACAGAGTTCAACAAATGCAACATAAAAGAATGCAACACATCTTTGCATCACTAGAACAAATGTTCCCCAGCATAAACAAATGCAACTCTCCTTAAAATAATATTCTACAACAGGGACCCTTGGATCTGCTCACCCTCAGCCTTCATAATGGTATCCTGTTTACACTCCTGACTTGAGCCAGTGTAACAGCCTATGGGCAAGACCCAGCACTGATTACCTTCAGGGGTCAGCAAATTATTCCCTTTTGTTTGGGCTCTGTTTTGTAAAGACACACTTGTCAGAGCTGTGTGAGTATCTGCATGTGGCTGCTTTGGAGCTGTAAGCTGTATTGGCAGAATTGAGTAGTTGGCCCCCAGTGCTTGAAATATTTACTCCCTGGCCCTTGGCAGACGTAGTGTGCCAGCCCATGGCCTGCATGAACAGAGGCCTCCACCTCAGCAGTAAATAACAGCGCAAACTTCACAGACAGTTGAAGAAGAAAGCTCACCCACCATGCCCCTAGCAGCAGGTACCAGTGAGCTGAGAGTGTCTCACTTCCTGTGGTTATGGAGGTCAGTCAGCTTTGTGTGGATTTAAGAAACCTGTCTGAGCATTGCCCTGGTGTGGTTACATAAGCACTGCAGAGGCTGCACACAGTCCACAGTGCTTTCCCTCTGAGCCACACTCTCAGCCTACCTGGATCACTCAGTTGTTTGGGACAGGTAACTTGTCATCCCTGGGTCTTGAGTGTTCAAAATGAGGGTCCCAGTGAAGACTTTCATGGGCATTCTGTAAGGAATCGAATTGTTTAGAAGAACTTGGAACTGAATGTAGCACATAATAATAGTATAATAACAGTAAGGATTTTATTTTTAGTCCGTTTTTGTGTCTTCAGATGTGTGCACACTCAGGAATGTGACCCTCAGGTGGCTAGCTCCAGCTGCTTCCCCTCCCAGCTCCATGTTGCCTCTCCTGCTTCCTGTGGACTGTCCCCTGGCATCCCTGGTTGCTCCCCTTGGCATCTCCGCCATTCACCCAGTCAGCCAGGAAGTCATCCACCACGTTTTGTGTCGGGGGGACTTTATGCCTGTGTGACAAACTCCGCGAGGACGGATTTAGGAAGAAAGCTGGAGACGGGTTTCCTAAGAGTCCCCAGTCAATGCACACAGGCTTGTCCCACCCCAGAGCCTGGCCTACATCAGCACCGGAGGTTTCTCTTCCCCTGCTGCTTGTAGAGACATAAGTCTGCACTCCTTCAGGATTCCTGGGCCTGCACCCCAGTCAGAATCACTCCCCTGCTACCATAGTGTGGTGTTGTTTTTGGAGCTGTTTTCTCTGTCCCCTCCCCAACCACATATACCAGTGTGCACGCACCTACACAAATCTAAATCGGGAGCTCTCCCAGGGCAGCCACTTAACTTAATTCCCCTGTAGCTGGAGCAGTTTCTGGCATTTTTGTTGTATGTTGTCATTAGGTGATGGGAGAATGTTCTAGAATTAGGTGGGACAGCTGAGAAAGTCTGTCCGTAGACTATAGACGCTTGTCTTTCTTACGTTTGTTTCATTTCTGGGAGACAGCTTGTTTCATTGGTAAATACATGGATTTTTCTCATCAGTTTGCATGAGCTTCCATCCTGACCTCCAAGCTAGGGTTTTCTCATTTATAAACAGTGGTGTGTTTGGTTATTGGAGGATCTGGATTAACTCGTGGGGCAGAACACTTTAGCCAGGTGTCTAGTGTACCCTTTGGCTACGCAGTTAACATCTGCTGTTCTTACTGAAGTGGCCATCCCAAGGTACGGTAGGAAGGCAAGCATGGCTGCAGCGCAGCTGGAGGCCCTGCGGGTGCCTTCCTCCCCTCACACCGCCATCCCTGTGCCCATCGTCCTGCTAGGGTGACACAGAGGACAAAAGACAACCGCTCAGTCTTGGGATGAGAAAGGTTGGCGCCCACAACAGAACAGCCTTGGATCTGTGCAGATGCACGTGACACCGTCCTGGGGGGGGAGGAGGAGGGGTCTTTGTCTACAGTCAGGTGGAGATGGGATGTGGTAGGACGGTCTCAGTGGCCCTCACCTGAAGGCTGTCTAACATTGTACTTCTGGGTGAGGTGGAAGATGTAAGGTATTCAACAGATTGGCGAGATTTGGGGCTGGGAACCCTTTGATTTTTTTAGCAACAGTGACTGACTCTAAGGCTGTGGGCATCTTAAGCAGATGCTCTACCGCTGGCCTGTGTTGATAGCCCTTTATTTTTTATTTTGAGACAGGTCTTACTATGGTGGTCAAGCTGTCCATGAATTCTCCAAGTAGCCCAAGATGTTTTTGAATATGTGATCCTCCTGCCTCAGCTGCCCACGTAGCTGGGATTACTAGCCCAAGAGTCCAGACAACTTGGTGCACCGTGCTCTCAGACTGGCTTTCTCTCCCAGTGTCGCATAGTCCTTTGGGCTCTCTGTCACTGAGCTGGTTCTCCAGGTGCCTTGGGAATGCAGCCATGTCTGCACAGCAGGAAGTGACAGGTGCAGAGCATGACCAGTGACCAGGGCCCCATGCTGGGCACTTCACTCTACAGAATGTATTTCTAGCAAATACTTTCAAGAATGTTTAAATAAAAGGCTTTAACTTGTCTTTGCTTTTTGTCTAGGCAACTACTCCAGAACCCCAACATATAGTGGGGTACCCAGTGCAAGCTACAGCGGCCCAGGGCCCGGTATGGGTATCAATGCCAACAACCAGATGCATGGACAAGGGCCAACCCAGCCATGTGGTGCTATGCCCCTGGGACGAATGCCTTCAGCTGGGATGCAGAACAGACCATTTCCTGGAAACATGAGCAGCGTCACCCCCAGTTCTCCTGGCATGTCTCAGCAGGGAGGGCCAGGAATGGGCCCGCCAATGCCCAGTGTGAACCGTAAGGCCCAGGAAGCCGCTGCAGCTGTGATGCAGGCTGCTGCAAACTCAGCACAAAGCAGGTATGCCTCTGAGACAGGTCGGGCAGTGTGCCCACGTGACCAACACCAGCCCGTCCTCCCTTCAGTATTCCAGAGCAGCAGTGCTTGTGTTTACGCGAGGCGAGGTCAGAGGTGACAGACAAAACTTTCTTCCTACCAGGAAGGAATCTGAGTGGTGGGCATCCGCTGCGGGAGATGAGGTGTCTGTAACTAGTGCCTGTGACCGTAGCCAGGGAACCAACCGTGCCATGCAAAAAGGAAATGTCTGCCCAGTTCCACTTTGATGAGTTTTAAGCAGAAAACACTATAGCCTAACTATTTAAAATCTACAGCGTTGCAAAAGAAACAACATGCATTCACACACTTCAACATACAAATTGAATATGCACACTCATTTGCACGTGCACTTGCACACATACTCAAACATGTACAGTTTTACCATAAGATCTCTAGGCTGTCTTTCTAGCACACACTTTGATCCTATCGCTGGGAGGCAAGAGGTGGGCAGGATCCTGAGAGTTTGAGGGCAGCCCAGACTGCCATAGCAAGATCTGGGCCAGTCAGGGATACATAGTGAGAGACCTTGTCTCAGAAAAAAAAAATCAAAGTCTTCTATGTGTATATGTGTGCACTGTGTGTTGGTCTAAATAAGTATAAGTATGTGTGGGATTTTGTATTTTATTGTCTGAACATTTTTCTCTCCCAACCAAAATGTGGTTGTTAAAGTAAAAATAATATTTTAGACAGTTCAAGCTAGTTGAGCAAGGCTTTACCCTCTGTCCTTGGTTTTATTCTGAATTCTTAATATTAATTAAATATTTGACCTAGCTCAAAATGCCATTTTAAAAGGGTCAGATGCAGACCTGTCTTTCCAAAAAGCACACCAGATGCTCTGGGCCTCAGGGTACCTGCAAAAGTCAGGAAATTCTGACTTCTGTCAAAGAGTAATACAAGCTAATTGTGTAAGCATGTATGTGTGTATCTCTGTGTCTGTGTGTGTTCAAATGTGTCTGTGAGTGTCCATGAACATGCATATGTTTAGATATGTCTGTTTGTACCTGAACACGCATGTGTTTAAACATGTCTGTGTGTCTGTGTGTATCTGAACATGTATGTGTTTAAATGTGTCTGTGTGTATTTGTGACCAAGTATGTATTTAGATGTGTCTGTGTCTGTGAACACTCGCGCGTGTTGAGAAGACGGTTCTTCCCCTCTGAAGCTGATACTCTGGGCAAATAGTGCTCTGAACGCTGATGCATTTCCTCTGAGGAATTGAGTGGAAATCCTGCGTTCCTCCCTGTTCTCTTAGCTCTTTATGCGCACTTAAAACCTCCTGACCCCAAGTGTCCGCCCCCCAGCCTTGCATGTTTTCTGTGTTTAACCAAAGCCAGCGTCACATCCTCCCCCACTTAGGTCTCAGCTGTTTAAATGGTGGCCATTTGTTGATTTGATTTACCTCAAGTCAAAACTATATTGAACTGATAAATCGAGAGTAGCTATGAGAATATACTTTTCTCTCTCCTTGGCCCTTTCCTCCACTCTGTTGAGTTTCACAAAGCCCCACCCCAGGTAGCTTCATGGTCAGACTGGTGCTTCAGAACAAATTCACACAAGCTGTTCGATCTTTCTTTAGACTACGTTTGTTAAGTCACCTGTGATCCCAGCCACTCTGAGGCTAGAGGACGCCCCATGTTTTTTTCCCTGTGGCAGCTGCCAGGCTCCCTGACACCAGCCTTACCATTATGGGTAGGAAGCAACACCCCCAGGGCTTTCTGTGGGAGAGCTGGGCATTTGTCCCAGGGCAGTGTGATGAAAGTCCTCTCTGTCTGGGTTTCACCTGCCTGCGCTCCTTCATGCCTGAGAAGGAAAGTAGAACTGTTACCTCCACAGAAGCGGTGACATCTCCCACCCTGCCCAGTCCCCTTGCTGTTGGTGTTCTGTGGAGGATTCAGGGCTGTGTTGCCGTACCCATGAGCCTGCACACTCCAACAGTAGAGCTGCTGGGCCCTGGGGCAGAGGAGAGGCACGTAGTACCACTGAGCCTGCCCTGCCCGTTAGCCAGTAACTTCTATTATCTCTTCTTCAAAAGAGGCCGAGAACCATTGACCAAGGAAATTTGATGAAATAATCAAGAATTTTTTTGCCATTCCACAGTGGCGTTTTCGTCTTAATGTCAACACAGGAATTGTAGACAGCAGCAGAATGCCCTTTCTTCCCGCTGCAGAGCTGTGTCGCCGGTAAACTGCGCGTGGTACTCAGGGTTACTCAGCAATAATATTAGCACGTCATGTTGTGTGTGTTCATCAGGTCCGCACATCCTTGACCCTGGCAATGAGGGACAGTGGAGATGGGCCTCCAGCTGAGCCGGAGGGGGGGATGCAGCCCTGCAAACAGTAACCTCGGCTCCGCTCTCATCCCTTCTCACCCCTGACTCCAGCTTTGGAGTAGTCCTCCCTTCCCTACACATCACTGCAGACAGCAAGAGCAAGGGTCATTTGTCATGGAGAGTCATCAGTTCTGTAAGCAGGTTCTCACTGCACACCAACAGAGACTCCTGTGAGCATACTCCTCAAGCTAAAGTGACTATGGAGTGAGACAGACATGCTTATTCTTGGGAACCTGCTCTCCCAACCTTGCATTTTCCCATGGTTCCCTGGGGTCAGCGCACAAGTCTAGAGGAAGGTAAGGGTGAAGCAGAAAGGTGTTTGTCTTCCGCTGCCGACGACAGGCTCTGTCCTCTCCCGGCTCAGGAGTGCTGTTAGACCCACAAAGCCGCTCTGCCTGCGCCTTGCCAAGACACATTAAGCAGCTGTGTAAAATGAATTTAAATGGCATGCATCAGAGTAAAATCTCTTCCACTGGGGCAGAAAATCAATGTTAGCTAACCAGCCTGAGAAGATCAACTCGGCTCCAGCCAGCAGCTTCCCGAGGGCTGCCGAGAAGACAGCACCTCCTCCTTAACAGAAAATGAGGAGGAGCAATGCGGGAGCTACTGTGACGTCCCCCACCTGGCAGAGGCTGTGTGCAGCCCCTGCCTGCTGCCTGTGGTGTGCTTTTCATGGTTACAGTATCCTTTCTGAAAAAGAAATCCAAGTTTTGTTTCTATTTAGGTCACCCATCTGTCCCGCTTTGCAGAGCACACACCCCTCCCCCTCCCCTTCCCCCCCATCCCGGTTTTCAGAAGGCCTACTCGGCTGTGAGAGAGCAGTGTGTTACAAGTCTCTGCAGCCCTTGCCAAGAGCCCTGGTTTCAGCATGATTTGCTGCCCTGGGCATCAGACTCACAGTTTGGCTTTTTTTTTTTCTAATTGATGGATGGCAGGTGAAGCCGCTTTAGAAAATGTGTTTCTTTGGGGAGGGGGCGGGAAAGCGTGGTCTTTGGGCAGCTACAGTGTGTTAGACTGTTCTCTTCATCCTTCGCAAAGAGCACGGAGCCTGGGACAAATTATTGATGAAGGTGGGAAGTGTGTGTCTGATTGAGCCGAGGCAGCAGCGTGCTGTAGAGAGGAAGGCTTGTGCGCAGGTGTTGTGATGACGGTGTTCACAAGTGGAGTGTAAGATGCAGGAGAAAGCATCAGCTGACCTGCTTGAAAAGTCTCTCACCGGTGTCCGTTTTGAGGGCGACTTCTAAGTGTTAAAATCCACCCGCTACGTTGAATAAGCTACAAACATATAGGTTGTTTCTCTTGCTGTCCTTTATATGAAGGAGGGAAAGTATCTGTACTAGAAAGTGCTTTGACGCCCACTGTCCGTGTGCTGCTAGGCATGCAATGGTACCTAAACATCCACCTCAATGATTGAAGAGTTGCTGTGCTCAGGAAGTCTTGCTCTGGGTTGTTCTGGGGCATCCGTAGTTAATGGGGTTTATTCTGGAGTGTGGCGTCTGCTCGAGCCTCGTCTGCCAGAAGCTCAGGGAAGACCTTGGCCCCTGCTTCCTCAAGAGGCCTTGTCATGAATCCTAGACACAGACACAGCTTCTAGGATGTTTTCAGTGACTAAGTTCATCACCCATGGTCTTGACAGCACAGGCTCACATGTGAGCGAGCGAGTGTCCTCAGCCCAGCACACACACATGTGAGCCAGCGAGTGTCCTCAGCCCAGCACACACACATGTGAGCCAGCAAGTGTTCTCAGCCCAGCACACACACATGTGAGCCAGCGAGTGTCCTCAGCCCACAGTGTGTCCTGCATTGTTTGTTCCATTTAAGGAAAACCTGGCAATTCCAAGCAGCTGGCCTCTTTGCCAAATATAGTAGTTGATATGTGGGTCTGGGGACTTAGGAATTACCTAGGGTTTATTTTTGTTTTTCCTTAGAAATTCTTCCAAGGAAGAATCACAACTTCAATGTACAAGTCTGACAAATTCCTGGGCCTTTTGAAGCCAGGCTGGTTGGATGGAGTTCATTTCCTCAATGACAGCACCTCCAGCACTGTCTAAACTTTCAGGCTGTTGTGTCACAGGTCTGCATTGGTCTGTAAGATCTTTATCCTGTTATCACTGTGTGGGTTCCCAGCAGAGGGTGGCAGAGTCTGGAGCCAAGTGTGTGGAACTGCTCACTCTCTGCCCTTTATTTTATGGTGGAGGATACTGAGTCCCCTGAGGTCAGCAGAGAAGGTCACCATTGAATTCGAGGGAGGATGCAAAGGTCCATCTCAGCCTGTACAGTGCTGCCCCTAAACTTGGTGAAGGGGGGAATGCTTGCTTTGTGCATTCCGTAGTCTGTAGCGGCTGTTCTGCTAGAAACTGAACGTGAGCGTGTATCTGAGCAAGGCCGCCCTTCCTGCAGAGGGCTGAGCTCTCTACCTTCGTCTGCTGACGAGGACATGGGCCGTGTACCTGCCTGGGGCCTGGGCCCTTGGCAGCACGGATAGGCAGCTCCAGTCTGTTTGACCCTGTGGTTGCCCATACACTACTGCTTCAGCCTCACCATTAAAACTGGGGGAGAAGCAGCTGTGCTGCGGGCCACACGCTGGTCTTTGCCTGCTGTCCCTGGAGGAGCTCCAGTGGACTCAAAAGCATCA